TAGACCCCTTACTATGTTTGGATACGTATGTTCGTAATGCCTTTGCGAATAACCACTCTGTTATTGCCATATTTTTTAAGAACATAAGAACATAAATAAGGAACACTGCAACAGGCCTACTGACCCAAGCAGAGCAGGTCCATGTTTCCCCCCCGGATTAGACCAATGACCCACCCCCCGGATTATCCCAATGACCCACCCAGCCTGGTCATCTCCACTCAAGGATGGAGCACTGCACCAGACCCAGCAGCACAAGCTAGTCATGTCAACTCACACCCACCCACACCCACTCATGTATTTATCTAACCTATTTTTAAAACTACACAACGTTTTAGCCTCAAAAACTGTACTCGGGAGTTTGTTCCACTCATCCACAACTCTATTACCAAACCAGTGCTTTCCTATATCCTTCCTGAATCTGAATTTTTCCAACTTGAATCCATTGCTGCGAGTCCTGTCATGGCTGGAAATTTTCAGCACGCTATTTACATCCCCTTTATTTATTCCTGTTTTCCATTTATACACCTTGATCATATCCCCGCTAATTCTACGCTTTTCGAGAGAGTGCAGATTCAAGGCCCTCAGTCTATCCTCATAGGGAAGATTTCTGATACATGGGATCATCTTTGTCATCCTCCTTTGTACGTTTTCCAGAGCATTTATATCCATTCTGTAATACGGTGACCAGACCTGAGCAGCATAGTCTAGATGAGGCCTAACCAAGGATATATAGAGCTGAAGAACAACCTGAGGACTTCTATTATTTATACTTCTAGATATGAAGCCAAGAATTCTGTTAGCTTTATTGCAAACACTAATGCACTGTTGTCTTGATTTTAGGTTACTGCTAACCAGAACTCCTAAATCCTTTTCACAATCAGTAGTATTAAGATCTACATTATTTAGTTTATATGTGGCATGGTTATTTAACTGTCCAACATTTAGAACTTTGCATTTGTCAATATTAAACTGCATCTGCCACTTCTCCGACCATTGCGTCAATCTATTCAAATCATCCTGGAGTGCTCTAATATCCTCATTAGAATGAATTGGACGGCCTATTTTGGTGTCATCAGCAAATTTGCTTATGTCGCTATTTATTCCCTCATCTATGTCGTTTATGTAAATTGTAAACAAAGGGCCCAACACTGACCCCTGAGGAACACCGCTTGTGACGTGCCCCCCATTCTGATTTCTCCCCATTTATGCAAATTCTCTGCTGTCTATTTGTCAGCCATGCCTCTACCCAGGAAAAAAATTCTCCTCCTATTCCGTGTGCCTTAAGTTTCCTCAATAGCCTCTGGTGTGGAACTCTATCAAAAGCCTTACTGAAGTCCATATACACAATATCACATTCATTACCATGATCTACCTCCTCAAACACCTGTGCCTGTCAAGATGGCTATGAATTGCTTCTGCAATTATTGATTCCATAAATTTTCCCAGTATGGAGGTAAGGCTTATTGGTCTATAGTTCGAAGCCAAGGATCTGTCACCTGCCTTGTAAATAGGTATTATATTTGCCATTTTCCACTTATCAGGCACTATGCCAGTTTGTAGTGACATGTTAAAAAGATTAGCCAAAAGTATGCTAAGTTCCTCTTTACATTCCTTTAACACCCATGGAAACAGTTCATCAAGACCTGGGGATTTGTTAGGTTTTAGTTTCTCTATTTGTCTGAGGACCATGTCACTAGTTACCACAATTGTACATAGTTTATTATCATCCTGTTCTACATAATCTATTATTTCAGGAATATCGCTAGTATTTTCCTGGGTGAAAACTGAGAGGAAGTAGGTATTTAGAATTTCACACATATTCTTATCACTGTCAGTGATAAGAACCTTGAGAAGGCATATGACACAACTTGGAGGTATAATATTTTGGCCCAAGCCCACTCCTTAGGCCTCCGAGGCAATCTACCATCTTTCCTTAAGAACTTTTAAACTGACAGACATTTTCGTGTTAGAGTTAATAGTGTGCTCTCCCCGGACTTTGTCCAAGCTGAAGGTGTCCTTCAGGGATGTATTCTGAGCACAACACTTTTTCTCCTTGCTATAAATGATTTGGCCTCTGTTCTTCCATCCAATATTTGGTCATCACTCTACGTAGATGACTTCGCTATTGCCTGTACAGGCGCTGACTGTCACCTCATTACAGTTTCTCTCCAGCATGCGGTCGACCGTGTTTCCAATTGGGCCACCATGCATGGGTTTAAATTTTCCAGTACCAAAACTCGCCAAATTACTTTCACTACACGCTTTGTCATCTCCGATCATCCTTTGTATCTCTATGGCTCCCGTATCCCCGAAAGTGATAGTCAGGTTTCTAGGCCTTCTCTTTGACCGTAGATTACCCTGGAAACCCCACATTACCTCTCTAAAGGCAACTTGTCGCAGCCGGCTGAACCTTCTTAAAACCCTTGCTCATCTTTCATGGCGAGCTGATCGTCGAACTCTCCTTCACCTACATTCAGCCCTTATTTTATCAAAACTCGATTATGGTGACCAGATCTATTCAGTGGCCTCTCCTGCTACTCTCTCTAGCCTTAACCCCATCCATCACCAAGGATTACGTTTATGCTTGGGTGCTTTTCGCTCTTCCCCTGTTGAGAGCCTCTATGCAGAAGCGAATGTTCCATCCTTGTCTGATCGCCGTGATGCCCATTGCCTTCGCTACTATGTGCATTCTCACGATCTCCGCAATCCTTCCATTTGTAGAATGGTCACTGATATTAATAGACATTCTTTGTTTGCTCACTGCCCCTGTTTGATCTGTCCCTTCTCTCTTCGCCTACATTTGCTCTTGTCTTCCCTTTAGTTACCGCCTTTATATGTTCATGTAGCATCTCACTTTTCCCTACCCCCCTGGGAAGTTCCAGCTGTTCAGGTCTGTTCTTTCTCGCTCCCTTGCTCGAAAGCCCAACTGCCTACGGTGGCTTCCCGCTCTCTTTTTGTTGACCACTTCCACTCTCATTCTCATGCCATCGCCGTGTACACTGATGGCTCTAAATCTTCTGATGGCGTTGGATTCGCAGCAGTGTTTCCGGACAGCATCGTGCGAGGCGTTTACTATCTTTGGCTAGCATTTTTACTGCTGAATTGTATGCCATTCTTGCAGCACTTATTCGTATCGCATCTATGCCTGTATCATCATTTGTGGTTGTCTCAGACTTCCTTAGTGCTCTACAGGCTATACGGAAATTTGATACACCTCACCCCCTAGTTCTCCGTATCCAACTTTGGCTACGCCGTATCTCTACCAAGCATAAAGATATTGTTTTTTGTTGGGTCCCTGGTCACGTTGACGTACAGGGCAATGAACAGGCAGACACTGCTGCGCGGTCAGCAGTACATGACCTACCAATTTCATATAGAGGTGTTCCATTTCTGGACTATTTTGCCGTAATAGCTACCCACCTTCACACCCGTTGGCAACAACGTTGTTCTGCTCTGCTCAATAACAAACTTTGTTCTATTAAACCGAGTACATATAGGTTACTGGCTGTCTTCTTGTCACCAGTATTGAGGTTGGGAGACTACTCTCTCCCGCCTTCGCATTGGCTATACTCATCTTACTCATGGATATCTCATGGAGAGGCGCCCTGCTCCTCTCTGTGAGAATTGTCAAGTTCCATTATCGGTTAGCCACATTCTGTTAGACTGCCCACTTTATCGACAAGCACGCAAAATTTACCTCCAACGTCATCTTCGCTCCGCTGCTCTCTCTTTACTTTCCCTTCTCGCTGATGGACCCACCTTTCATCCGGACTCTCTCATTGACTTTTTAACAACAACTGACTTACTCCACAAACTCGGATGATACCTTCAGCCCTTTCTACCTCAATCTCTTGCTACCCTCTACCCCTGCACTATCCCCTGCCCCGCTATTTTCTGTAACCTACTAATCATCCCTCCCCCCTTCTGCCACCTGATACCCTCGCTTCCTTCCCTACCCTGCAGCGCTGTATAGCCCTTGTGGCTTAGCGCTTCTTTTTGATAATACTGTAATAATAATAATATGCGCCTTGTTCAATACACCCTTCAACCTGTTGCCACTGGCTTATACTATGAAAATGCATTACAAATCTGCTGTATGTTTTGTTTTTTCTGGTTTATGGCTCATGTTGTACCCCCTTAAAGAAGGTTCCTTGATGTTAGGTAATAAGGAATGGGCAACTAATGTGACTTTTATTGTAGCAACTTTGTTTTCTAGGAGCTTTGTTAAGGAGTTTGACCTAATTTTCCCCGAAATAATCTATATAGTAGTATGTCATTGATGTCAGCTATGGTCTGTATACCATGCACATATACTTGTAGTAAATAAAGGTATTATTATTATTATTGAGATGAGCATGTCAGGAAAACTGATAGGGAATGGTGTGGTAAAGAAAGCAAATGCCAGATAAGCAGTGTCTACCTGCTGAGGTTCGCAGGACCCTATGTCTAGTTCTTATACAGTGTCATTTAGATTACTCTTGCTCTTCATGGTACTCTGCCTTCACAAAAAAACTGAGAGATTACAAATCACCCATAACAAAATGGTAAGATTCATCCTGGACCTGGGTCCAAGAGAATATGTAGGCCAGGATTAATTACAACTGGATATGCTGAATGTTGAAGACAGAGTAAAAACTTTAGTTAAATCACGTTTATAAAATTGCTCACAGTGCCCAGAATATCTTGATACCAAGTTTGTCAAAGATGGGAACCAAAGCAAACATAGCAGGTACTAGGGAAAGGAGCACAACTTTGTAGTACCCACAGCCAATGGTCAGGCTTCAAACACATTTTATTGTACAGCATTAAAGGTGTAGAACAAACTGCCCGCACATGTCAAAGCCAGTCATAGCATGAACCAGTTCAAGATGAGAACCAAAAGGTACCTAATGAATATTGTTACAGAAAAGGAGATGAGTTATTTCTTGTATAGGTTATGTATGTACCTATTATTGTGATCTGATCCTAAATTTAATGCTAGTGTAAATAATTCAGTTTACCTTATTCCTAGTATATATCCTTTTATTGTTTAAATAATAAGTTATTGCAAGGATCCCAATGGAAATAAATGTCTGACTTTTTTGGGTTACATGAGGTAATTTACACATATGCTATGTATGATAATTTATATAACTATTTGTGTACCTGCTGTATAGCCCTTGTGGCTTAGCGCTTCTTTTTGATTATAATAATAATATTTGTGTACCTGTACCTGAATAAACTTACACGTGTGTCCTTTTACATAACATATTGTTGGTAATTCTACCAATATCAGGTTTCTTAAGCTTTCCCTGGCAAACATAAGCTAGCCATCAGTCCTTCCTCCCACCTCCAGCTCATAGAGACATGTTTGTCCACCTCCAGGGTGGACCCCAATTGAAATCAAGTCACTTTGACTTTTTTGGAGTTATCCTAGGTAATTTACACATACGTTACTGGGTACAATTGTGCTTGTGTACCTCTTCCTAAATAAACTTACAAAATAGTAAAACTATCATAAGCAAACAGAAGAAGTAAGGGAGAGCAGCAGAAACAGAACCATCCTTACCAGAGCCACCAGACCTCTCAGAGCTATGATAACCTCTTAAAAATTCTTATATTTGGCGAAGAGGAGGCAAGGAATTTACACTTTGGTAAGCTATAAGGATGCCAAACCAGGTAGAATGAAACTGGGATAGACAAGATGCCAGATGGACAATTATTGTTTATCATGAATATAGAATACTGAAGTTGTATTGAGCAGCCCAACTGTGGGACGTCATCAATACTAAACTGCATGAAGAACTGGAGGCTATTAGGAACAAGATAGTGGTATACACAAGTAATATTGTTTACATGCCTACATATACACATCCAACAGCTACTGTCAGAAAATATTTTAAGTATGTACCACAAAAAACCGTGTTCGTATATGTAATAGTTATCTTCAGGAAGTTGGAGTATTTAGGGGCAGATACACATAAGTAGTTACACAAATTATTATACATAGTTACATATGTGTAAATTACCTACGATAACCCCAGTAAAGTCAAAAGTGACAGTGAGCTGATAAAAAAAATACGTTTAGTAAAACACCTTTTATAATTATGAAGTTTCATTTATTGTTTTAGGTGAAGCGTCGTAATAATAAAAGCTTTTCTCTTGCTGTTCGTGTCTTTCCATTTATTTTCAGATTGATTGTTTGGTGCTGCCGAAGACAGTGTCACAAATGCTTGCCAATAATTCTGACACAACCGTGGCGAGAAAGAACGGTTTTATGCCCGTAATCAAATATAAAGTAATTTTACCATTAAAAAAAGTTAAAAGCATAATTAAATTACATGAGATTAAATATAATGAAATACAGAAATTTATATTAATAGAAGAATATATAAAATGTAGTATATATATATGTAATGTATATTATCGGGTGTTGACAGTTTTGGGGGTGGAGGTGAGGCTTCGTCAGCTTCAGGGAGTAAGTTAGTTTATTCAGGTATACACAAATAGTTACATAGAATTATCATACATAGTTACATAGAATTATCATACATAGCAGCATATGTGTAGAGAACCTAGGATAACCCAAAAAAGTCAGAGTGATTTGTTTCCATTGGGGTCCTTTTACCTTATTGTTATAATATAAAGGTTATAATATTTTCTTATTATTCTAAAATGAAGATAACATCTTATTATCATACTAAAAAGACTATCTACTACACGAGGGTCATTAAGACTATCTACAATACGAGGGTCATTACTAGGAATAAGGTAAAATTTACACGTATGTTAGCAAAAAAATAGAAAATCATTCCCCCTCCCTTTCTGTAGCTACATTCATCAGACACCTTTTGGCACTCTTCTTGAACTGGTTCATGCTATGACTGGCTTTGACATGTGCGGGCAGTCTGTTCCATTCCTTTATTGCTGTACAATAAAAGGTGTTTGACACCTGGCCACTGACTGTGGGTACTACAAAGTTGTGCTCTCTCCCCCTAGTACTATGATTGCTTTGGTTCCCAACCTTGACAAAATTGACAGCAAGATATTCTGGACACCGTGAGCAATTTTATAAACATGATTTAGCTTCAGTTGTTTTACTCTGTCTTCAACATTCAGCATATCCAACTGCTGTAATTCATCCTGGCCTACATGTTCTCTTGGTCCCAGCCCCAGGATGAATCTTACGATTTTGTTCTGGGTGATTTGCAGTCTATCTTTCAGTTTTTTTGTCAAGGCAAAGTACCATGAAGAGCAAGCGTAATCCATATAGCATTGCATAAGGGCTAGACATAGGGTCCTGCGAGCCTCAGTAGGTAGACACTGTGCTTGTCTATACAGGAACTTCAGTCTGGCATTTGCTTTCTTTACTACACTGTTCCCTATCAATTCTCCTGACATGCATGGGTCAAAGGGGATTCCCAGATATTTTACTGATGAAACCAAAGCGATGGGCTCCCCATTACACTGGACATTAAAATTATTTACCCTTCTCAGTTTATGTTTCGTGCCAAAGAGAATGGCTTCAGTTTTCCCGAGGTGTAATGATAGTTTGTTGTCTACTAACCATTTGCTGCAGGACTTCAGTTCCAGTGTTAAAACATCAGCAATATCTTGTGGGTCTTTACCTGACACTAACAGAGCACTGTCATCTGCATACAGTAGGAGTTTGCACTTGACACTGATAGGCATGTCATTGACATAACATAAGAATAATAATAGTTTTTATTTAACACTTACATAATGTGCTGTATGACCCTTACGGGTTTAGCGCTTGGTTATGGCTATTTGTAATAATTATCTTACATAACGTGAAACTTTTACAATGGGTTCTTACAGTAAATTACGTAGGGTAACCCAACAAGGTCAAACAACACACTCCCTCCTCACTCTTCAAATAATAATAATATCTTTATTTACTACAAGTACATATATAAGGTATACAGGCCTAGCTGACATCAATGGCATACTACTATATAGAAAGCCGCTTATTAGGCAGAGCATTTCGGGCAAATTAGGTCAGTTTTGTCCTGGGATGCGACCCACACCAGTCCACTAACACCCAGGTACCTATTATAAGAACATAAGAACATAAGAACGAAGAAACACTGCAGAAGGCCTACTGGCCCATGCGAGGCAGGTCCAAGTCTCCTACCGGCTTAAGCCAATGCACCCAACCTAGTCAGGTCAGGTCACATTGACTTAAGGGAGGAACACGGCAACCGACCTGGTAGCACAAGCTATCAGGTCTAACTCACACCCACCCACATCTACTCATGTATTTATCCAACCTATTTACCCAACCTACTGATGGGTGAACATAGACAACAAGTGTAAGGAAACATGCCCATTGTTTCTCCCCTCGCCAGGAATCGAACCCAGGCCCTCGCCATGTGAAGCAAGAGCTTTAGCCACCAGGTTTAAACATTCAGTTTTTACACAATATTCACTCATACAGGTCAGGCCCGCTTTACAGTGCTCTGCTAATGCAGCAGTTTTTGGTTATACCCATTCTTCATTTCAGATTTCCTACAATAAATAAACTTACTAAGGTAAGGATGAAAATATTTTAAGGTAAGTAATGTGTGTACTATATATGCATTTTTTAGGCCTAGCTATATTACTCATTTAATGTTATCAAGCTTTTATATGCATTTAAAAGTGAAAAAAAGGCTATGTTTAACTTTACAGCAATTTTTGCTTTACAGCTGTAGCCTGGAACCCGACTTGCTGTGTAAGTGGGGCCGTCCTGCATGTACAGGACAATCATTTATAATATTCCTGTTCTGAAACGCTTTCTTAATAGCTGCAATAGAACTCATAGGCATAACACAAGACACAAAAATCTGATATTCCCTGTGTCTGGCTCAGCCTGTGTAAAAATTCAGTATAATCACCAAAATCTGGTGCTGAGGCTGAAGATTCTAAAGGTTCCTTATATGTCAGCCACTTTGAAGCTATTATTAAGAAGCATCTCCTTATCTTAATGTGATCCTGACAACAATATGCAATGTCAAACAAATCCTGAAACTTTCTATATTCTTTCATTTCTGTTCTTTTAATTCCAGCTTTCCTTCTACCCCCATATATTACTAGGATGTTTAGACTGCAAAACAAGTGAAATATTTGCAAGCATTTATCTCAGGCCAGACTGCTACTTTTTTATTATAATAATAATAATTGTCTTGGGACAGAGGAGGCTTAATCCTCCGAGCTTTGAGACAAAGTATACAGTGGAACCTCGGCATTTGAACTTAATGGGTTTCAGAAGGCTGGTTGAGTGTCAATCTGTTCGAGTACAGAACAAATTTTTCCCAACCAATTTTCTTTTTGGTTGGCTGTTATCACTAACCCTCCTAGGCCCCCATGGTGACTTATTTATACAAATACATACAGTGGAACCTCAGTATACGGGAAGCTCCCTATTTGCATGAAGCTTAGCACTGAACCAAACAAATTCAACCTGCCAGAACTTTGCTGTAAACTATTTCGTGTTTCTTTGCATGTTTTGGTGTTTTTTGCATTGTATAAATAAGTCCCCATGGGGCCTTCGAAGATTAGTGATAACAGCCAACCAAACAGAAAATTGGTTGGGAAGAACTTGTTTGATACTCAGATAGAACAGCCTTCTAGAATGAATTAAGCTTGCATACCGAGGTTCCACTGTAATACGAAAAAAACACCAAAAAATGCAAAGAAATGCAAAATAGTTACAGTGAAGTTCTAGCAAGTCATGTTTGTTTAGTCGAGTGCTGAGCAAACATTTGACTACTGAGCGATTTGTTTACCGAACAAAGCGTTTGAATACCGAATTGTTCGAGTACGGAGCTGTTTGAGTACCATGGTTCCACTGTACGCAGTACTATACATGCCACTTGAGACCAGACGAGCTAGGCATTTGACACTCTAGTGTCCGGCCAAGCTAGGCAGTTGATCCAGAGTAGCATTGTTAATATACAGTATATATAAGCTAGGCAACATAACTTTACTTTTGTACATTCACAGAGACCCCAGTGGGAATAATTCATGTTAAGTTTATGTAATGTACTATTTTGTGTGCTCCTAACATCTGTTTGCCCTCAAGACCATTTGTATGATATGTACTGGTTGCAGTTTCTAAATAGTTTACTTTCGTATTACTATACGTATTTGTTTGTAGACAAGACATCTGGCTCATTTGATAGTGCACTCAGCTCGCACACCGATTGTCCGAGGTTCAATCCCTGGCATGGGTGGAAATGTTGGGCATGTTTCCTTACACCTGCTCTCCCTGTTCACCTAGCAGACAGTAGGTACCTGGGTGATAGTCGATTATTGTGAGCCACATCCTGGGAGACGAGGACCCCTACGGAAATAAGACAGTCCATGATGACACACTGATTTCACTGGGTTATCCTGGGTGACTAACACTCCAGGTTAAAATCCCAAACAAACTCTTCTCACTAAAATATTTATTGAGGAGTTTTTTGCTCCAGAGAGTGAAATATCTTAGTACTGCATATGTCTCTTTATTTACATACTAGTTGGTGCTTGATGCTATCTTGGGTCAAAATTCTATAAACATTTCATTAACTACTCTCAGAATCTCATTCCTCTGCACTTGCACCTTCAGGTGTAGAAACACTGAATGAAATCTACACACAGATAAATATTGTCTATACAAAAGTTAGATTTGCTACATCTTTGTCTCTTGATAGTGTCTTTTCATGGAAAGTGCTATGATTTTTTCCTTGAATCAAACTTGATTTCCTCTCATTCCTAAGGTGCTATATGAACCTTATGGTTTTAGTGCTTCCTTATATAATAATAATTCTAATAATACTCCACAGGGAAGTGGAAAATAATTTTTCCTCCTCCTCTCCTAGGAAAGGTTGGAGGGAAGGGGTAAAGGAGGTTTCGTGTGTGAGGGACTTGGACTTCCAGCAAGCATGTGTGAGCATGTTAGATAGTAAATGGAGACAAATGATGTTTAGGACTTGACAGGTTGTTGATGTGTGAGTAAGGTAATATTTATGAAGGGATTCAGGGAAACCGACAGGCCAAACTTGGGTCTTGGAGATGGGAAGTACTGTACAGTGCCTGCACTCAGAAGGAGGGGTGTTAATATTGCAGTTTTATAACTGTAGTGTAAGCACGCCTCTGGCAAGACAGTGATGGAGTGAATGATGAAAGTTTTTCTTTTAGGGCCACCCTACCTTGGTGGGAAATGGCCAATGTGTTAGTAAATAAAAAATAGTCGTGTGTCATAAGAGGCGCTAAAATGCAAGGGGCTAGTAACCCCTTCTGCATGTACTAAATTTAAAAAGAAAAACTTTTGTTTTTCTTTTTAAATTTTAAAAGAAAACCTTTCTTTTTCTTTTTAGGTCACCCTGCCTCGGTGGGATACAGCCAGTTTGTTAAAAAAAAAGTAGTAATAATTATAATAATGCAGTAATAATGATAATTATAATAATAATAAAGATAAGATAGTTTTATTTCTTTGTAAAGGTTACAATGTATAATTACAGTTTTGGTTAAGTACGAACAAAGTCATTATCATGTCGGGGCATTTCGGGCAGACTAATCCTAGTACATAATAACTACTTATCTAGACAAGATAAGAGTGGTTAACTTTTTAATAAATCTTTATTTAATCTTAACATTAAGGTGAGGTAGTCAAGGTGGAAGTTTATAAGAATATTAAGCATGAAGTTGCTCATAATAAAAACAGTATTACAATTAATGGTTCAAACAGTAATATTTCATGGATTGGCAGATGTTTAATAGATTAGAGGTCATATAATATTTGGGAGAGTCGCTTCAAACTGATAGAAGTTGTTATGGTTGGTTTGGTTAGTATTGAGAGAGGAGATGATTTTTAAACATAGTCCTAAATTTATATGTAGTCAGGAGATCCTTTACTGGTTCAGGTAGTGAATTCCAGATCTTCGGGCCCTTTATGTGCATTGCATTTTTGCATAGCATGAGACTGACATGAGGGATGTTGAAGAGTGCATTGTGCCTTGTATTGTGATTGTGTCTTCTGTTGTAGCTGTCAAGGAGAAGTTTAAGTGGATTATTTATATTGGAGTTTAATGTTCTGTATATGTAGTAGGCACAATAATATGAGTGTATGTCTCATATTTAGTAGGGTCAGGCTTTTGAAAAGTGGTGGGGTGTGCTGTCTGGCACAGGAACTGGTAATCATCCGCTCAGCAGCTTTTCGTTGGGCAATTAAAGGTTTAAGGTGGTTGGCTGTGGTTGATCCCCAGGCACAAATACCATAGGTGAGGTATGGATATATTAAAGAGTGGTATAGGGTAAGGACTGTCTCTTGGGGTACGTAGTATCTTATCTTGGAAAGGATGGCTACTGATTTGGAAATTTTCTTGGATATATGCTGGACATGGGAATGAAATTTAAGATTGCAGTCAAGGAGAAAACCTAGAAATTTACCTTCAGTGCGTGTTGTAATAGGGAAACCATTTATCGATATATTAAGTTGGATATTTAAGGCTCTGTTTCCCAACAGCCTGAAGTATGTGTTGTCTGTGTCGAGGGTGAGTTTGTTGGTCATCATCCAAGTATATATTTTTAGCAGCATGTTGTTTACAATGTCTCTATATAGCTGGGTTAGAGTGGGAGTAGACATAAGTAGTGTCGTCTGCAAATAGAACTGGTTTAAGGAGTTAAGGTGCATTGAGGAGATCATTGATGTAGATGAGAAAGAGGAGTGGGCCTAGGACACTACCCTGGGGCACTCCAACAGCTACAGGCTGGATAGTGGAGTTGACTTCATTTGTGTATATGTACATACTGGTGTATATCATTAAGATAAGATTTTAGGTACTCGAGGGAATGTCCTCTGATGCTGTAATGATTTAGTTTTAAGTGCAGGAGATTGTGTTCCACTGTATCAAATGCTTTTTGTAGGTCAATGATATTCATTTTTATCGAGGGCTGTTTATATTAGTTCGAGAATTTGTATAACTGCATCATTCGTACTTTTTTTTTTTTGGTCTAAACCCAAACTGGCTATAAGGTAGGAGTAAAGTCGTTTGTGTATTTTTTTTTTTTTCAAACATTTTAGACAGTAAGGACAAGTTTGATATAGGTCTGTAGTTGTTCACATCAGTTGGATCACCTCCTTTGAGGATTGGGGTAACCCTTGCTGTGTTGAGTATGGATGGGAAGGTTGAGGACTCAACAGATTTGATAAACAGTGTTGCAATAATGGGTGACAACACATGAGCTGCTTTATATATATATATGAATGGTGGCAAATTATTTAGATCTCCTCCTCTGTATTTTAATGCTCTAATGATAAGTGAGACTTCAGTAGAATTAGTTGGAGCTAGATATAGAGTATTTGGGTAGTTGCCAGTGAGGTAGTCTTTTGGCTGGGTATTTCAGCTTGGAATTTTGCTTGCCAGCTTTGATCTTACAGTAGAGAAGAAAACATTAAGTTTGTTGGTCATGTCTATAGGCTGAATGTGAGGTTCATCTGATTTAGTTGAGTTTAACCTTCTGTTTCTAGACAGTTTTCTAGAGCCCAAAATTTTGGAGAGGGTTT